ACTCAGTACAGTAAGTCCTGCTACTATCCTTGTTAGTCCAAATAGTCCCTCTCTCAGTCCAATTAGTACTTGTACTCTCGATTATAGTCCAATTAGTCTCTCGCGCAGTACAATTAGTCCGGGTACTCTCAATGTTAGTCTGATTAATCTTTGTACTCTCGATCTCAGTCCAATTAGTCACTCTCTCAATACAATTAGTCGTGGTACTTAGTACAATAAGTCCTGCTACTCTCCTTGTAGTCCAATTAGTCTTTCTCGCAGTACAATTAGCCCTAGTACTTGGTACAATAAGTCCCGTTACTCTCCATGTTAGTCCGATTAATCTCCGTACTCTCAATCTCAGTCCAATTAGTCAATCTCTCAGGACAATTAGTCCTGGTACTCAGTACAATAAGTCTTGCTACTCTCCTTGTAGTCCAATTAGTCTCTCTCGCAGTACAATTAGTCCTCGTACTTGGTACAATAAGTACTATTACTCTCCATGTTAGTGCGATTAATCTTCGTATTCTCGATCTCAGTCCAATTAGTCAATCTCTCGGGACAATTATTCCTCATACTCAGTACAATAAGTCCTGCTACTCTCCTTGTATTCCAATTAGTCCCTCTCTCAGTCCAATTAATCCTGGTACGCTCGATTGTAGTCCAATTAGTCTCTCTCGCAGTACAATTAGTACGGGTACTCTCGATGTTAGTCCAATTAATCTCCGTACTCTCGATCTCAGTCCAATTACTCACTCTCTCAGTACAATTAGTCCTGGTACTCGGTACAATAAGACCTGCCACTCTCCTTGTTAGTCCAATTACTCAATCTCTCAGTTCAATTAGTCTCTCTCGCAGTACAATTTGTCGGGGTACTCTCAATGTTAGTCCAATTAATCTTCGTACTCTCGATCTCAGTCCAATTACTCACTCTATCAATACAATTAGTCCTGGTACTCGGTACAACAAGTTATGCTACTCTTTTTGTTAGTCTAATTAGTCCATCTCTCAGTTCAATTAGTCTCTCTCGCATTACAATTATTCGGGGTACTCTCAATGTTAGTCCGATTACTCTTCGTACTCTCGATCTCATTCCAATTAGTCGCTCTCTCAGTACAATTAGTTGGGTACTTAGTACAATAAGTCCTGCTACTCTTCTTGTAGTCCAATTAGTCTCTCTCTCAGTACAATTAGTCATGGTACTCGGTACAATGAGTCCTGTTACTCTCCATGTTAGTCCGATTAATCTCCGTACTCTCGATCTCAGTCCAATTAGTCAATCTCTCAGGACAATTAGTCCTGGTACTCAGCACAATAAATCATGCTACTCTCCTTGTAGTCCAATTAGTCCCTCTCTCAGTCCAATTAGTCCTGGTACTCTCGATTATAGTCCAATTAGTCTCTCTCACAGTACAATTAATACGGGTACTCTCGATGTTAGTTCGATTAATCTCCGTACTCTCGATCTCAGTCCAATTGCTCACTCTCTCAGTACAATTAGTCCCGGTACTCGGTACAATAAGTCCTGCTACTCTCCTTGTTAGTTCAATTAGTCCATCTCTCAGTTCAATTAGTCTCTCTCACAGTACAATTAGTCGGGGTACTCTCGATGTTAGTCCGATTAATCTCCGTACCCTGGATCTCAGTTTAATTACTCACTATCTCAGTACAATTAGTCTCGGTACTCAGTACAATAAGTCCTGATACTCTCCTTGTTAGTCCAATTAGTCCCTCTCTCAGTCCAATTAGTCCTTGTACTCTCGATGTCCAATTAGTCTCTCTCCCAGTACAATTAGTTCGGGTACACTCGATGTTATTTTATCTCTCTAGGGTTTATGTTTATTATTGAATTCCTTTATTATTTTGTCGGTTGTCTTCTTCTCTTCTGCTTCGGTGATAACAATGAGAGATTTTGGGAACCATGTTCATCTTTTTACGGGTTACAGAGTTGAGGAAGATCCTACCGATGATAATAGGTTGGTGTATGTTTTATATACTCGCCATGGAAGAAGACTACCTTTTGCCGCTTTAACCCGGTCAGATAATTCAACTGCGGAATGGCACTGTCAAAGTAAACTTGAAGATAGTTATTTATACGCATGCGAGGGTTTGTACTCAGTAATTCATTCAGTATAATCATTCTATTAATACAACTATTAAAATATAAATATTCATGTTTCCCAGCCTCCTCCTCCTTCTTCTTCTCTTTCTTCTTCTTCTTCTTCTTCTTCTTCTTCTCCTCCTCCTCCTCCTCCTCCTCCTCCTCCTCCCTCTCCCCGTTTTAGGGAGGAAAAAAATTACAATTAAACATTGAAGCGCAAGTTTTAAAGGTTTATCTTGCTATAGAATTAAGACAAACCTTAAGAAGTAACTTCTCAAGTCTTTTGTGCCTTTCCTCTGACCGTTCCTCCAATTCCCTAAACTTTTGGTCATAATGCAGTTTGAAAGAATCGAGCCTTTTTTTGTGAAAGATCCTCGAGTTCTTTAAACTTTTGGTCAATATACATTTTAAAAGAATCTTCATTGGCAAGAGGCTTAGGAGAGGCAGTAGGGGTGTGGGGAGAGTGTTTGTTCTTCTTCTTTCTTTGTTCTTCTACATTGGCAGGAGGCTGAGGAGATGCAATAAGGGTTTGAGGAGAGTGTCTCTTCTTTTTTTTTTTGTTCCTCCACCACAACTTCTTTCTTCATCCTTGGCACCTTCATATTTTTAGGAGGCTACTTCTCCTCAAGACTCTTCATCTCACATTATTTTCTTTTCAGAGAGATCGAGACTGGAAAAAGAACTAATTTATTCTCTAATGATTTCACAAATCCATCCAGCTCATCATGTGGGTGACTCTCTTGTATAGACTCCAAACTTATGACCCAATTAGCGGTTTCCTCAAAACAATCAGGTAGTAGAATACTCTGCACCCTCTGTAACAAACATCCAGTTCTTCAATTTTAGTTGTATAAAAAAACAAAAAACATATTCTCATCCTAGTCCACTGCATAAGTCGACCATGCGTTTGATCATATTTATTCAATCAACCACAATCTGGTCGACAAATGGTCGATAACATTTATCTGTTCAACCACAATCTGGTCGATTCATGGTCGATGACATTTATTGGTTCGACCACAATCTGGTCAACTTGTGGTGATAAGTATGAAATTGTTCTTACCTCTATTGATTGTTCAGCTTCTTGAACATGTTCATTGTTGATCCTTTTTTTGTCTTTAAACCCCAGAGACATAACTTCGGCAGAGGAATCGCATTTTTAGGGATTCTAGCAGCAAACTTTTTAGCAAATTCAGAGGCGCATTCAAAAAGCAATATCTATTAAAACAAAATTTTAAAAAGTTAAGAAATGCTAGACAAATTGTTATTACAGTATACAAAATTATAATAGAATTTGAAAATTATATTAAGAGAGGTCCTTACCGAAATTGGGATTAAAAATCCCGGGTAATTCATTGTTGCTGACTTGCCTTTATCACGTATTTCATTTAGCTTTTTCAGCAAGTCTATTGTCTTCAATGCATCTAATGATCCCATGTATGCCCACACACCCCATGGGAACTCGTTTTCTTTTCGTGCCCCTATTATCCCAATTATCCAATCAGGAATGAGAGCTTTTCTCTTAAAAGGAGCTAGAAGGACCGAAACTACAAACATGAGTATTGCTACTTTGATCACTTCTACTTCAGCGTCCTTTTTCAGTTCTTCCCCAGCTTCAGGGTTCGTCAAAGTGCTGCATAATTGTACAAATCTCGCTACACCGGTTTCATAGCTAACAACTCCTTCAAAATCTTGACCAAAATGCTTCTCAATAAAACTGGTCTTGGAATCATGATCAAAATCATCTCCATAATTTTTTCTTAAGGGGGCTGCAGGTAAGCCCGCTAATTAGAGCAAATTCGATGATAGAGTAGCGTACTGGAGCTCCCTTCACGACAAACCACGCATCAGAGTCCCTATCAATTTTCACTAATCTCGACAGGAGTGGCCACAAAAGTAATGGAACAAGGATGCAAGAAACATCAATGTATCTCCCAAATACACTGCCTCTAAATCTATTCATGAGAGTGGGAAATCCACCAAGCTTATCAAACATTAATCCTTGAAATTCATCCAAATTTTGCCTCACCGTGAGCTTCATATTTGGGAACACCGAGAAGTCTACCACGGGAGGCAAGTAAGGGACCTGCATATAAAAAAAATTAACAGTTGTTCGACTAAAAAATGTTCGAACCAATGGTTCACAACTCAGTTTCGCTTGAGATTAGTCGAACAATGTATGTTTAGTTCGACCAAATGTTTTTACAGAAATTCACTCCGGATTAACCACCAATGATTCTTGTATAAAAGGTAGGTATATTTAGTTAGAAAAACTAATGAGAAGTACGTCATGCGTTTTCAAAATAATGAAACATGATTTAGGTCGACTGAGTTGAGTTCGGTTGCGAATGAACATGTATAGCTTTCATTTGAGAAGTTGCCACTATAGCCTTCTAAAGAATCAAGTTTCCATCACTTCCATCATCTAAATTTAGCTCTCAAGCATAAATAATTTAACATTTACCTGAACATCGGGTTCATCTGCGGCTTCCATCACTTCCGATGCTTTCACAAGTCTTCATCTTGCTTGGGTTTTCAATAGAGGAATCGTAGAACTTTTGCACTTCATGATATTTGAAGGAGATGGAAGAATGCTTGTGATCGAAGTAGAAATTGAAGAATGCTTGTGCTAGAGATCGAAGAATGCTTGTGCCCTAAACACCGTGCTCTGTAGAAATCGATTTCGACTGGTAGTGGATGGAGTGCGGGAAGTTAGGGTTCCGGAAGTTGGATCGTGCACGGTATGAGACCAAGAAACCGTTTTTTGAAATCGCAAGACACCGTCGTTTTTAAATTCCGACTATCCTTTTATTAAGGGTTCTTATGTAATTACGTCATTTACTAATAATGTATTAGAAAGAAGAGCAGTTTCAAAATACTCAACCTTTTTCGCCCCATTTTGATAAAAATTCCTCTTGAACCCCCCACTCCCCTCCCCACGTTACCCCGCAATTACACATGGCTTCCTTGTCGATTGATGCCGCCGCGACCTTTCTGGGCATAGCCAAGAGGCGGAGGCCACCAATCAGTAGCCTACGCACCCTTTTTCCTCGAAGCATATGGAGAAGGGACGAGTCCCAGAGCAGCAGTTCACTGATCACTTCCTCATCATTCCTTCGTTCAAGAATCATCTCTGCTGCCACTATCAGTTATTCCCCTAAGTCTAGGCGTTTTTCCCGGAGCTTCACTTCCTGTTCAGCCACAACCTCCAATCTGCAAAGCGAAGATTCTGACATATTGACCAATATCAAGCCAGATAATCGCATTCCTGCTACCATTATCACCGGATTTCTAGGTTCTGGAAAGGTACTTCTGCTGTCATTATCGATTTCATTCTTATTTTTTCTATTGGAGTGCTCTCGATGGTGGCTGTGGGTTCTTTAGACCTAATGGAATTATCATCTAAGGATGTTAAGGAAGTTGATTTATTGGAAAGCTGGATGAATGATACTGCAGTTTCTTTTGATATGTTGAGCTTATCATTCATTAGCTATTTATTGCGTTTTCCGTAGGAGCATTATGGGTTTTCTGGTCCTGGTATTGCACTTTTAGCCAGTGCATTACCATCTTGAGAATTGGGATGCATATCAAAGATACTAAATTGTTAAATGGTGACTTGCCAGTTACTCTGGGAATACTCAATACTGGATTATTACTCTGTCCTGTATTAGTAAATTTAAAAATATGTATGCTACATAACTATAACAATATTGCGGAGTATAATTCTACAGCCCTTGCACTCCGTCGAAATTAATGAAGAGTTGCAATTCTGAACCCTAGGTCTATAAATCTGGTAGATAATAAAATAAGTTGATGAACGCTTATCATGTTTAGTTGATTTCATCAATTTATTTTCTGAAATATTCCATGTTTAACCCCAATCCGAGTTAAGCGAGTCATTGAGTAATGAGAATCACTGAGTACTTCTCGAGTAACTCATAACTCGTAAGTCATGCCATATAGATAGTCTACATGGCGCGGTACTTTTGGATCACTCAATGAATAAATAACTTAGAAGTTACAACTTGAAAGATATACAAATTAAGGAGAGTTGAGTTGATAAATCCGTAGTTATGCTAATCAATCAATCAATTAGATTCAATCGTTTAGTGACTTGACTCATTTCATTGTACCAAGTTCATTTAGCAACATGAATTTCCGGCTGGAAGTTTGTTTTCAACGATATGTGGTCCTATTAGCCACTTGTTGAAGGGATGTTTATCCAAGTGTGGAATAGTTCCCCATGGTCATAAACCTGGTTGTTTGCATGGATGCCTGAGGTGAGTTTTCTCGCACTAATAAAAATGTAGTAGTCTCAACTCTCTCGAAAACTTCTCAAACGCCGGTGCCAGGCTTAAATTCCCTGATTATGACTAAAAATACCAAACATATACCAGAACCCGGTAATATATGACTTGAGCTAATTATGAGACTTGTGACACCTTTAAGCTAGGAAAACCCTCAAAAGCCGATCTGAACACGCATCAAATGCGTGTTGAAACTTGAAATACGAACTTATCAATGCTACACCTCAATGACTTGTAGTGCCTTCAGATTTAGTAGTTTTCAAGCTTCAGTTTTGGGAGAAGCTTCACTGTATGTGATCAACAAGAAGTAGATGGCGTTAAAACTCCACATTGAAAGATCAAAGAGAGATAAATGATATTAGAAGACCTCTAGAGTGAACTAGTTAATAGATTGAATTCGGTCTTTTAATATGATGTGACCTATTTGTTCTATGTTTGAGTGAATGATCCCAATCTGATTATTATTTTTTTAAATATAACTATAAATTAAAAACTTTAGATGTACTTATTGTTAGCATCTATTTTCCATATAAGTAATAATAGGACAATAATAGTTTTTGTGTTATGATCACAATGGTTTGAACACAATACCTAAAGAGATAAGGGTATCCACCTGCCCAGTTAATATTCTATTGCATTTTGGTGCTAAAGGTGTCTTTGGTGAAAGAATTGACTGCTCAGGGCCTCAGATCATCAGGCGATGTGGGTTAGCTTATAAATTACAGGAAATAATAAACGAGAAGTTGTGCCACCAAATAAAAGGTTGTAATGATTAATGAACGGTAAATTGGAAAATGGAAAAACGGTAGTGGCGTTGAAATTTGGAAAGGTGAAACATTATTTTGGGGTGGATTTAAAGGAAAGTATATCCCATAAAATGGAACAAATGAGTAATTTTTGTTGATACAAAATAAAGAAATGATATCAATATAAATATTGGGGTGTATGCATGAGTTTAGACTATGCGGCATCTTTAGTTGACTCTGACTATTATAGTAATATGGGCTTTTTGGCTCATAAATCTCCGGAATGCATTCATTCGTGTATATTAGTATATGCTCTAGGACGTTGATTTTCTTCTCAGACGACCTAACCTCCAATCGTATACTCGTTGTTAATCTAAATAGGAATATTAAATCTTTGTGCTTGAATGTCCATTACCCATCAGCATCTTATGACTATTGTTCTAATATAAATATTTCCTTTATCATGTGCAGACCACTTTGCTAAACCACATATTGACGGCTAATCACGGAAAGCGCATTGCGGTTATTGAGAATGAGGTTGAGTATTGGTTGATTGGTTGTTCTTCAATGGTGTACAAAATTGATGATGAACTTATTCAAATGTTGATAATCTTCTTCCTTATTTTTATCTCTAAAACTTGAGTAACATCTTCAAGTTTATAGTTTTAAACTTTTTCCTCTTCTGGATACATTACCCTAAGTTGAAATTCAATGGTACAGTATGGTGAAGTGGATATTGATGGCTCTTTGGTTGCTGCAAAAAGTGCTGGAGCCGAAGACATTGTGATGCTTAACAATGGATGTTTATGTTGCACCGTGAGGGGCGATCTTGTTAGAATGATCTTGGAATTAGTTAGTAAGAAGAAAGGGAGATTTGATCATATTGTAATAGAAACAACAGGTAGAGAATGGTGAATGGTATCAATATCTAATTTCTGATATGTGACCTATACCTAATAGTAATACTATTTTTTCATTAAACTAGTTAATTTGTTTTCATGTTCCCTTTAGTGAACTTTTTGTTTTGCTGTCAATAATGCCAAACGTTTTGTTAATTCTGAAGGATTGGCAAATCCAGCACCAATTATTCAGACTTTCTATGCCGAGGATCAAGTCTTCAATGATGTTAAATTGGATGGGGTTGTAACTTTGGTTGACGCCAAACATGCTGGTTTTCACCTGGATGAAATTAAGCCAAAGGGAGTGGTAAATGAAGCTGTGCAGCAAATTGCATATGCTGACCGTATCATAGTGAACAAGGTATATCTACATCAATGCGATGTCTTTTGTTGTGTATACCTTACGTGCATAACATTCCTAGTGTCTGTTTTGTTTTACAGACAGATCTGGTTGGGGATGCAGACATGTCTTCCTTGATTGAACGCATTAGGGTTAGTATTTTGCTAAACAGCACATCTTGCGTATCATTGACATCTCTATTTAACTTCACATGGCTGAAAACAGAGAATAAACCAAATGGCGCACCTGAAGAGGACACAGTATGGAAAAGTTGATTTAGATTATGTGCTTGGAATTGGAGGCTTTGATTTGGAAAGGTTATATATCTCCTCTCTATGTATTAAGGTTTAAGGTTTTATCATACTTAGGTCAATCTTGTTAGCTCAGGGTCTTCAAACACTCAACTACATTCAATTGTGCAATTTATTCTTAATGGGTCACACACCCTCACCGCTGTACATGTTATCTGTTTTTTTACTCTGTATTCTTGCTTCCCCCAATGCAGAATTGAAAGTGATATTGACATGGAAAGATCTAAGGAAGATCATGACCACCATCATGACCATGAGCATGACCACCATCATGACCGTGATCACGATCATCATCATTCACACGGTAGTTCGCCCAGCTTGTGGCAGTCTGAAAAAAAATGTGAAACTATGTTTTAGAATTCTTTTTTCATTTTCATGTTTTTATAGTTTTAGTCAGCGCGATAGCAGAACAATTATATTTTACTGGGTTAGACTTCATAATGGATTTTTGGTGTGCTATTGTTGTGAAAATATTATTGCTTACATGAGCATTTTCAACTTATTATTGTTTGCAGAACATCATCCTCATAGCCATACTCATGATCCTGGTGTTTCTTCTGTAAGCATCGTTTGTGATGGCTTCCTGGATCTTGAGAAGGTAAGGCATATTTACCCATTTTCTTGCCGTTATTGATGGCTACTTGACTAGTAATGATGTATACTATGTTGTGATTGAACATTATTATAACACTTAGGTATAATATTTCAACACGCCCAGTTTAAACCCAGTAGGACAACTTGAGGGCCGATAAATGGACATATCAAGCTCAAACGGGTATCTTATATCATGGGGATTCATGGGTGCAAAAAGTAAACAAACCACTACAAGACTTATCTCTCTAATACCATTTCATTTTCATTTACCCCAGTGCCGCAAAGGCTCCCACCTACTGTGGGATAAGGGGGGGTCGGATGTACACAGTCTTACCCCTGTACTAAAGCACAGAGAGACTGTTTCTGGATGACCCATAGTGAAAATCGCGTCCAAAATTGCACGGACTAACTGCTGCTCCATAACAAAGAAGCGCAGACAGTTTAGTGAGCCATTTTGCTTTATTCCATCATAATCTCAAGCCAAAAAATAATGAATTTTTGGCTCCATGGCAAATGATGGAAATATCTCTCTAATACCATAAAAGTAAAATAATCTGCAGAAGTGAATGATTTTATTCATTAAAGTCACAGTTATGGATACACAATTACATGTAAATCAAGCCAACTTCCCTAACTAAATATTTGGATCAGCTAACAACGAGATAAACTTCATCTTATTTACAGCTTAATTAACTTACTAGCTATACACTAATCCGTATTTAATATCTTTCTAATTTACCTCATTAACTCATTAGCTATATGATATATACCTTTAAAGTATCTATCTAATTTACACCTCATCAATAGCAGTATTCATGAATCATGACATTTCATTTATCAGGCCAACATTTGGCTGGGAACATTATTGATGGAAAGGAGTGAAGATATATATCGGATGAAAGGTCTTTTATGTGTCCAGGGAATGGATGAAAGATTCCTCTTTCAGGTTATTGGATTTCTTCTTTTTAGCTAATATTTCATGGCTTACCTCTAAATAATTTTTATTGAATTTCTTCCTTTTAGTTATTTTTTCCAAATATAAACCTGTGCCGGCAAAACTCTGGAAATATATTAGGAGCCTGTTTGTTGGGACTGAATCTGGAAATATGAAAAGTTCCAACTTTGTCGGCCACTTTTTACCCTCACAGAATGGTGAACTACACACCGCATTGATTTTTTATGTATCATTTACTGCATATGGAATGGACATATGACAGGGAGTACACGACATATTCCAAGGCTCCCCAGACAGGCCATGGCTTCCTGATGAACCTAGGACAAACAAGATTGTTTTTATTGGAAAGAACTTGGACGAGAAAGAGCTAGAGAAGGGTTTCAAGGCGTGCCTGCTATAATGTGCATCCGTCCCCCATTAACCATTTCCAGGAAGGCTAATGAAAAGTGAGGAGACTTTAATTACCCATTTACTATATTTGACAGAAATTTTTGGAACTTCGTATCAATAAATTATATTTTTGTTGCATTTTTTTTCATTAACCCCATTAATGTCTATTTGGTGTTTTCCCCTTTTCCTCCTACATCAAGCTGCTTTAATGATGATAAGTGTAGGACTTACATGCTTACTAAGATCACAAAACAATTGTTTCCTAATGTTGAAAGGAATTCGGCTATTTTGGATCTTGTACATAGTGATCCATGTTATTTTCACTCAACTCCTTCCCTTGGCAATAAAAAGTATGTTGCTACTTTTATTGATGATTCAACTCGGTTTTGTTATGTGTATTTATTGCACACTAAGGACGAAGCTTTAGAGAAATTTAAAGTGTATAAAATCGAGGTTGAATTGCAATTGGGTAATCCAATTAAATGTCTTAGGACTGATCAGGGAGGAGAATATATGGATCCTCATTATTTTAAATCTGTTGGGATCATTCATGAGACCACGGTTCCGTATACACCACAACAAAATGGTGTGGTCGAACGTAAAAATCGAGTGTTAAAGGAAATGGTTAATTCCATGCTTTCCTACTCGGGTTTGAGTGAAGGGTTTTGGGGAGAGGTCATGCTCACGGCCTGCTATGTTCTAAATAGGGTTCCAAATAAAAGGAACAAGACAACCCCACATGAGCTTTGTTAATTGGTACAAGAAAGCGCCGAATTTGAAATATTTTTGGGTTTGGGGTTGTAGGGCGGTTGTAAAATTGTTCGAGCCCAAAAGGAAAACTTTGGGGGAAAGGGGAATTGATTGCATATTCATAGGGTATGTTGAACATTCCAAGGCTTATATGTTTTATGTAATAGAACCTAATGATGCGGTAGCCGTTAACACCGTGATTGAGTCTCGGGATGTGATCTTTGATGAGATTTTCATCAATTCAAAGACCAAAGGAACTAGTTCCACGAACTAGTGAGGTGCAAGTTCCAGAATGTTTGGATGGTGCTTTGAATCCCGAAGCACCACAAATAAGGAAAAGCAAACGAGGCCGCATCGTGAAAGACTTTGGTCCCGATTTTCACTTGTATTTAGTGGAAGGTTCAAGGGATGAAACGGGGGTACAATATTCATATTGTTACCAAGTTGAGGATGATCCAAAGACATTTAAAGAGGCAATGAAATCCCGAGATGTTGCCTTTTGGAAGGAGGCAATTGATGATGAAATGTCATCAATTATGGAGAACAACACTTGGGTGTTGTCGGATTTGCCACCGGGTTCTAAACCCTTACGTTGCAAATGGATTTTCAAAAAGAAGATGAAAGTGGATGGAACTGTTGATATGTTCAAGGCTCGGTTGGTCATTCAAGGTTTTAGACAAAAACCCGGAATTGACTATTTTGATACGTATGCGTCGGTTGCTCGAATTACAACCATTAGGTTGTTAATTGTTTTGGAGGTTATACATAATCTGATTATACATCACTGAGAATGTCAAGACGGCATTTTAAATGGTGATCTTGATGACGAAGTTTACATGAAACAACCGGAAGATTTTGTTATGCCGGGAAATGAGCATAAGGTTTGTAAACTTGTCAAATCATTGTATGGGCCGAAACAAGCACCAAAACAATGACATCAAAAGTTTGATGAAGTTATTTTGTCCAATGGTTTTAGTTTAAACCAATCGGACAAGTGTGTCTATAGCCGGGTTGATGCCTTAGGGGCGGATGTGTTTATATGTAGGGCTGGTTTCGGTTCGGGTCCTGAACCGATCTGAACAAACCGAAAACCGAACCGACATTTCGGTTTTACTAAATATATAAACCGAAACCGAACCGATCATGAATCAATTTCTCGGGTCAGTTTATCGGAAACCGATAAAAAACCGAAATATTTAAAAATAATATAAATATTGTACTAGTTTTAACAATACTAAGCCCAAAACAAGTTTATGATTTTTATATTAATTTGATCACCCAAGCCCATCGGCTGGGAGCTTACCAATTAGCTTTAACCAACTTGAAATGTCTTTATATAAAGAATTTTGGAAGAGTAAATCATCTCTTGTCCGGTGTGGGACAAAGAGACATTGGAAAGAAAATTCAAGGTCCAAACAAAAACATGCCCTTGCGGGAGTCGATCCCTGAACCTCTCCGATATGATACCGCATCAGCGACCAATTTGCTAGAACACTTGGTTTGTCACTTTAGATCTCGGAATATTAATATAACGTTTCTAATTCTCATTAACGCTACTAAAAATGTCGGTTCGGTTCGGTTTGGACCGACTTTTTAAGATTTTAAACCGAGTCCGAATCGTTTTTATCGGGTCCCAATTTTCGGGTCCCATTTTCAATCGGTTCGGGTCGGTGGTTTTTTTTCCAAAGCGGTTCGGTTTTTTTCGGTTCGGTTTTCGGTTTTTCGGTCTAAAATGCCAACCCTATTTATATGTCTCTATGTAGATGACATGCTGATTTTTGGAACGGACCAAAATCAGGTTGATGAAACCAAAAGGTTGTTATCATCAAGGTTTTCCATGAAGGACATGGGGGAGGCGGATGTGATCCTTGGTATAAGGATTAAACGGGTAAACAAAAGGATTGCTTTGACACAAGATCACTATGTTGAGAATATTCTCAAAAGGTTTAATTGTAGTGATTGTTCACCCGTTGGTACTCCCATGGATCATAGTGTGAAGTTGATGCCTAATAAAGGAAAGGCGGTATCACAACTTGAGTACTCTCAAGCCATTGGTAGTCTGATGTATGTCATGACAAGCACTCGGCAGGATATTGCTTATACCGTGGGTAGGTTGAGCTGGTTTACTAGTAATCCTAGTACTCAACATTGGCACGCAATGAAGAGAGTGTTCAAGTATTTAAAGCGAACCATGGATTATGATTTGTGTTACTTTGAGTATCCTTCGGTTTAGAGGGATATTCGGATGCAAGTTGGATATCCAATGTAGAGGATCATTCTTCTACAAGTGGTTGGGTATTCTTGCTTGGGGGAGGTGCCATTTCTTGGGCATCCAAGAAGCAAACTTGTATCACAAGTTCAACGATGGAATCTGAGTTTGTTGCGTTGGCTACCGCCGGTAATGAGGCGGAGTGGTTAAGAAATTTAATTTTTGAGATTCCATTGTGGGGGAAGCCGATTGCACCTATTTCTATCCATTGTGATAGTGCTGCCACTTTGGCTAAGGCGTATAGTCATGTTTATAATGGCAAGTCTAGACACTTAGGTGTTAGACGTAGTATGATTAGAGAACTAATCATGAATGGTGTAATATCGGTGGAATTTGTAAGGTCGCAACATAATTTGGCGGACCACTTGACCAAAAGTTTGGCCCGGGACTTAGTGCACAAGTCTGTTATAGGGATGAGTTTAAAGTCCATTTAATCCTTAATGATGAGACACCCAATTCTCCTCTAATACAACGTTAGAGGCTGAATTCAATGCGGAAAGCTCACGCTTAATGGATTGGAACACACAATGAAAATCATTCCAAGGTGTGTGTTCGGACCTGTAGTAGGGAGGCTGAATTTATTTCTTAATAATTCCTTTGATAAAGTGTAAGCAGGTACAGAGTAAAGGAATTACCTATATGATCGTGAAGTGTAGCCGCACTTCAAAAAGCTTGGGACTTGGCTTTTATACGATCATGAATGGGATTAGGACACACGGCTTTATAATTGTGTCAAGTTTGTATTCTAGTTGAGTATAGAAACTTGTATGTATTTTATCTTGAGGTATTCAAATGGATTGAAGGGTTCAATCCGTAGGACACCCCGATTCTCGAATATTTTGAATGTGTAAAATACTAAGATGGAAATTTAATCGTATAGACATTTCCATTTATGTGCAAGTTTTGGTTTGTAAACTTTGTTATGTCATTTCATGGGTTACACTAAAATGGGGGAGGATTGTTGGTGATTTTAGTGTCACCGGCCGTTTTGTGTAATTGGAAATGACATGGATGCAATTAGGGATTAGAGTGTCCTTAAGGATTATCCTAGATTGAATTTCTTGTAACCCAGACATAGGGGAGAAATATCAATTCGGAAAGTGAACTTACACGATCCTTAAGCAATCCAAGTACTCGATTATCACCCCCTACGTGATATACCCCTACAAGAGTTGGGAAACTTTTACCTGTTTTTATTAAAAAAAATAATGACAAAATACAAACGCTAATGAGAATAGAAAGCTAAATAAATAAAGTGAAGCCAATAAAAGAGATGCAAAAGAGAGTGCTATCGGAGAAACCGCCTAGCAGACCACTTCAAAACTCGGTATGTACCCTTTCTACTCGGTATAATCACCTATGCAAAGCAACCTGAGCCGCTAGTTAACAAAATTGAACTTAAAAACCAAGATTTCTTTAATACGGAGTAAAAGCTAACTAAAGTAATTATTTTCTAATAATTAATCTTAGTCAGATTTTTTTCTTTCTTTTTTTATCATACAAGTTTTATTTCTTATGAAATAGTTTAGTTTTCTTCCTCAAGAATGTGTTTCTCAGTTGCATTGTGAAAGAGATGAAAGAAGCCAAGAAAGATGGTGTGAAAAATATAGATAAAAATTATTCATCTGAAGATATGCTAGTTGTACACGCTTTTATACACACTCTTATACAAACAAGACTTGTTTGTCTGTGAACAAGGTTCATCTCGTTCACAGACAACAAAAATTGTCCTCTCACAGAGTGAATATAAAAGTGGATATAAAATAAAATATAATATAAAAGTGTGTACAAACACATTTTTTTCCAGAAAGATGTATATGACTCACGTGGAAGCTATAGACTAGAAGTAACTAGCCAACACAAACTTGCCTTGAAGTTGCCATTGGAGAGGATATCACGTGCAAGAAGAATTATTTCATACGGAGTACTCCGTATTCCGTAATATACTACGGAGTACTACATATGAAGTACTACTATATAAAGTAGTACTAATTCCGATCCCGTTCGCCATATCATTTTGAATACTCTCTCCGTCCCGAAAAGGTTGGCCAAAGTTGACTTTCACGTGCATTAATAAAGTAAAAACTGTGTGGATGAAATTTGTGCAGAGGAGAGAGAATTAATTTTAGCCACATATTCCTTACTTTAAATGGAAATGACAAATCTTTTTGGGACATCCAAAAAAGGAAATTTGGCCAACCTTTTCGGGACGGAGAGAGTACTTTATAATCTCTCTGTATACAAACCAACGTGAAAACAATGGCCAAACTCCCGCTCAAAAACGTCTAATCATTGTAAAAAATTGATTTTCATCGGCTGCTAAAAATGGGTCAAAGTTATTTAATT